GAGATACAAAAGCTAAAGACTAATGAAGATAATCTGAAGTCTAAAGCTAGTACAAGTCAGCAGCATGACTGTAAAAATGCGGAGCAAAGTCGATCGGAAGACTTTACAAATCCAGAGTTAAGAGGTGACGTTGGGAAACACCTAAAAACCCATAATGTTTGTTTAAATACAGTTGCAGATACAAGAAAACCAGTTATTGAAAAAAATAACGAAATACAAATTTAAACCAGTTATTTGAAAAACCATTTACACAAAAAGCAAAGAACCCATTAACCACAGAACCACAAACTTCGACGTATGCAGATAGTCTACAACATGAGAAAAAGGATTAGCCAAATTATTTAAATGGAAATGCTATATGGAGTTACTATTCCAGAGATCAATTAATGATTTATGCCAACTCAAGAGAGCTAAGGAAATCAGATATGGATGAAGTCCAGAAATGGATTTTATCTTTATTAAAACCAGAAGAAAGACCTACAACAAGAGCATTAAAGGCATGATTTATTTCGTCAGAGCTATTAACTAGATATTGCAAGCTAATTGGACACAAATACCCTGACCATATATGTTCAAAATGTAATGAAGAAGACAATGTGATTCCAGATGTCCAGCTGGAATGATCAAATCAAAGCCTAAGAGATAAGAAGATAAAGAAGAAAAGAAATAGAAGATAGAGACGGAAGACTGAAGAGATAAGAAGATAAGGCAAAGAAGACATATTTGGCCGACAAAGCCAAAAGCAAATAGTATAAAGTGTACAGTACTATGTAAAAAAGTCGTAAAGTAGGCGCATTATTGTAAATTATTAGGGGCATTATTAAGTAGTATAGGATGTGCATTATTGTGCATTATTGTAAAGTAGCTATAGGATAGAATTTCCTTTCTATATAAATGAATGTATATGGAACATAAGAGGCAAGCCTTCAATAAACGAAGCAAACTTTCATAAAAACACTCTCAAATACTCTCAAAATACTTAAGATATTCATACTTAATAGATAATGGAGCAACCTTCAAATATCATGGATGAGCAAGAGGCAAAAGTATATTGTTTAATAAATATGCAGAACTAATTTCATATATTCCTGAATATCATATATATGATTGAATAAATTTATGTTAGTTATTATGTATTAGAATTATTTGAATCATGATTTCTAGTTTATTAGCACACTGGAAACAGAGAGAAAACTCTTATACTATGCCATCCTAATGTTGAAACCAGTAGGCGAGGAAAGTTGTTAGGGGAGTAAACGCAGTTGAGGCGCTGATAAGGAGGAAGTATCTGCTAAAGTACGATGCTAGTAGTGACAGGAGAACATGATAAAAGATAATCTAGCTCATAATGATCTAATATGAATTTAATCAATTATGAATATGATAGGAAGGAATAATTGAAAACAAAAACCTGCATAACAAAGGACATGACTACATATATGCATGATGAAATGATAAAAAGTTATAAAACTTTAATTTTATATATACTTAAAGATATAAAGATAGTGGAATTAAGAAGAATTATATGGGAAAAAATATTTAATGACGATGAATCAAAAGATATACTAAACCAACAATGGTATGAGATAGACCTACATGATCTATATTCAGACCCCGAAATATATGATTTAGAAATAGAAGATTCAGATTAAAATGAACTACGAATATTTACAAAATTGCACAGAAGCTATGGAAAATATAAAACTACTAGAACAATTAATGGAGAATAATTTATATATGTACCTAAGAACCCAAGATATGTTATACCTAGAATACATCATAAATAATATTAAAGAAATATCAAGATTAAAACCCTTAGCCAAAGAATATTATAATAAAACCTTTAGCTAAAATTAATATAAGAACAGATGAATTCCGCACCCCCAAAAATTAAAAGGCAGAAGGAAGAGACTGCACATTGATAAAATTTAGAAAGCTGATGGTACATGGACTGAGGGTAAGGAAGTGGAGACAGAAGCCAATAATTTTTATGATGAGCAATTTACAGGAGGGTCAGATGATATAGATATGACCTTAATTGATTTAGTTACTGGGCTGGTATCTGAAGAACATAATGTGCAATTGAACAGGTCTCTTTCATTAAATGAAGTCAGAAGGGTAATTTTTGAGTTGAATGGAGACAGTGCTAGTGGTCCTGATGGATTTACAGGTCATTTTTATCAGTTTTGCTGGGATATTGTTAGTTATGATATATTTGCTGTAATACAAGCCTTTTTTAGTGGTTTGACTTTACCAAAATCTATTACTCACACTAATCTAATCTTAATCCCTAAAAGAGAAAATATGGTCTCTTTTTCTGATTAAAGACCTATCAATCCGAGTAACTTCTTAAATAAGATCATAACTAGACTCATTCATGACCGTTTTGAGGGACTGCTGCCTAAGCTTATCTCAAATAACCAATCTGGATTTGTTAAAGGAAGGAACATTACTAAAAATGTTTTACTTGCACAAGAAATCATAGTAGACATCAGAAAGAGGAGTAATACTGCTAATGTAGTGTTTAAGCTAGACATGGAGAAAGCTTATGATAGAGTGGACTGGGGATTTATGATGAAAGTTCTTGCCAAGATGGGCTTCAATAATGTATTCTCAGATAAGATTTGGAGACTAGTTACTAATAATTGGTACTCTATATTGATTAATGGGCAAGCATCCAGATTCTTCCATTCTACTAGAGGGATCAAACAAGGGGACCCACTATCCCCTTCATTATTTATATTAGTTGCTAGGGTTCTCTCAAGGGCATTGAATAACCTACACTCTTGTCCTCAGTATAAGAGCTTTGGATTACCTAAGTGGAGTGAAAACATTTCTCACTTGGCTTATGCTGATGATACCACAATTTTTGTTAATGCTGACAATTTCTCTATAAATTTGTTAATGAATACTTTGCAGGACTATGAAAGGAAATTAGGGCAAAAGATTAATAGAGACAAAAGTGCTTTTTTTTGTGCATATTATGGCTGCTCATAGAGATATTCAACTGATAGAGGAATGCTCTGGATTTCCTAGAGGTAAGTTTCCCTTAACATACCTAGGATGTCCAATTGGTCATGCTAGGAAAAGGAAAACTCACTTTGCTGACCTGATGAAGAAAGTGCTGAATAAACTACAAGTTTGGAAAGGAAAATTGCTCTCTTTTGGAGGAAAGGTTGTTCTAATTAATAATGTGTTGCAAAGTGTCCCTATATATCAACTATCAACTATCATACCTCCTAATTACAAGATTTATGTGGAGTTTTAAAGAAGGTTGCAAAAATAAGCATTGGGTTTCTTGGACTGACATTTGTCAAGCTAAAATGGAAGGAGGATTAGGCTTCAGGTCATTATTTGATGTATCAAGAGCTTTGTTTGCGAAGCTTTGGTGGAATTTTAGGACCAAACACTCTATGTGGTTACACTTCATGTGGAACAAATACTGTAAAAAGTGTAGACCTCAAATAGTAGAGTGGAAGGGAGGCTTTTAGACTTGGAAACATATGTTACAGGCTAGGGATTCCATAGATCAAGAAATTTGGTGGCAGCCTAACAATGGATCTTCTAGTATTATGTATGATAACTGGTCTCAAATTGGAGCATTACATTACTATTTTCCAGTATCATTTTCTTCTAATATGTTACAAGAAGACATTAGTAAATTGATGGTACATGGCAAGTGGAATGAGGAGTTGATAAGACATACCTTCCCTAAAGAAGTAGCAAACCACATTATTAAGGAAATTTATATTGTTCAACAGTGTGAGGAGACGGATAAACCTTACTGGATGTCCAATCACACAGGTAAGTTTTCCATCAGATCAGCCTGGGAAATTTTAAGGACTCCTGAGGTATATCAGGAAGAATTTAGAAAAGTATAGAAAAAAGGGGTTCCTTTTAAAATCTCTTTCTTCTTTTGGAGATTGGTCAAACAAAGAATTCCTATTGGGGAACTTTTGGTCAAGATGATGATAGAAGAGGTGGTGTATTGTTGTTGTTGTGACCTTAATATGGATGAAACATGGGAACATCTATTCGTTGCTTGTCATAAAGCTCAATTTTTGTGGAACATGGTTGGAAGAGCTGCTGGAATTGAGGGGCCTTTTTTGCAACTGAAGGACACCATTTTTAAATGGTGGAATGCAAACTGTAGTGCTAAACTGAGACCATTATTCAATGCTATCCCTGGTTTTATTCTATGGGAGAGCTGGAAAGGGAGAAACACAGTGAAGCATGGAGGTAAAATATCTAGGTACAATATGTTGGCAGAAATTACTAGAAATATTCACAATCTTGCTATGGTTAGGTATCCTTGGTTAAGGAACATACCTAAAGATTGGTCTATGATGGTGAAATTCTTTGAGAATTACATATCTGTTCTAGCTACTAAGGTGATATATTGGGTACCTCCTAACATGGGGGTGTACAAATGTAATACAGATTGTGCATCAAAAGGTAATCCAAGACCTAGTGCTGGAGGTTTCTGTATCAGAAATTGGAATGGAGAATTCATATATACAACATCACAAGAGTTGGGTTTCAAAACAAGTCTGGAAGCAGAAGTCATTGCTTTTGAAAGAGGATTGCAATTTTGTATGTCACACAATCTATTACCTGTTATATTGGAGACTGATTCACTAATTGTGTCGAAAATATTGGATGGCATTTGGGAAACTCCATGGAGTATTAGCTTGCTGATTAAAAAGATCCAATGGTTGAGGAGGGATGGACAAGTGGAGGTGTCTCACGTGTTCAGGGAAGGGAACAAAGTTGTGAACTATTTTGCTAATTTTATTTTTTCATGTGCAGGTAGAGGTTTTAAAGTTTTTAACACATATATGGATGTACCTAAGGAAGGGAAGGCACTCATTCAACTAGATGCAAATAAAGTTCCAAATATAAGAATTTCCTACTGTCAGAATCCCTCATTTGCAATATAATGAGTTCATGTTACTTCAATGCCAACGACAAGGAAATAATGAAGAAGGAGCAAGATGTACCTCATCTGAAGAACATGGGCCTAAATCGGAGCTCTTTAGACAGTGGTATTAGCTCCTTGTGAGCTCAATCTGTCAAAGGACAAGGATTTAGGGACATGGACTCGAAGAGGTAAGATTACATAGGTGTAAACAAGAAATGAGCAACACAAATCGTCAAGAACAAGAATAAAGCACTCTCTAATTTCAGGGAAAGATCATCAATACCAAGAGATACAAGAAAGATTCATAATAGTCACAAAAAGGCAGAGATTATAGAACTCACCTTCAAATGAAAGCATCAGACTTGAGCTACATCATGTTGAAGACGTCTTCATCGGACAAGATTACATGACGTTTGTGACAATTTGGAGCGTCTAAGATGTAATCTATCCAAGCTAGATGTACCTCAGCTTCTCGATCTTTCGTTAATGGAAGTTGGTCCCTTAAGATTTTTCCAGATTCATGAACAACAATGGTTATAGCAAGAAAGAGGAAGAAGAGCTACTCCCAGTCACTTTCCCCTTTTACCGTGTTCTCTATATTTGTCTTTCCTAATTTTACTTTGCTTTGTGTATTAGATTAGGTCACCTTTGGGCCTAAAACTTTTGTAGCAAAAAAAAAAGTACTAATAGAATAAAAAGTATCTAACTTAATAATTATACGGAGAAGACCCCTAAAGTATTGGAATTGGTATAATTATACCCTTCGTTTATCTTTTGGCCACAAAATGCCCTTGGGGTTAACCATTTTTTATTAGCTAAAAATGTTATTGAAAACTAAATAAACTAAAAATGCTATTCAATAACATATAATTTCAATACAAATAAATAAACATATAAATATAAAAAAATCCCAGTTAACCATTTTTTATTAGCTAAAAATGTTATTGAAAACTAAATAAACTAAAAATGCTATTCAATAACATATAATTTCAATACAAATAAATAAACATATATATATAAAAAAATCCCACATCCCGTCCCATCCTGTCCCGCCAAACCCCGTCCCATCCCGTCCCGCCAAACCCCGTCCCATCCCGTATATGTAGTGGGACGGGATGGGACGAATTTTTGTCCCCCCAAAATCCCGGCCAATTGGTCCCCCGTCCCGTCCCCCAGTCCCCGTTCCCGTCCCCTTGCCAGCCCTAGATGACAGCATTGATAAGTTCGTGTGGTCAATTAATTTTCGAAAAGTGGGTGGCATATTGGAGTTGGATATGATGGCAAATTCAAAGTGAATTTGTGATTTGAAGTATAAAAAATTGGTTTTGCTATTTTTAATCTCGTTGTCATGGTCATTGTCTAAGAAAAGTATTTTTTAGTGTTTTAGAAATTAATCTATCCGTCTCACTTTTAAATATTTCTTAATTTATTATTACTCAAAATTCAATAACAACACGTACTATGATAGATCGAAAAAAAAGGTGAAAATAGCGACATGGCAACAATAAATTTAGTATGTGAGAATGAAAAATTGAAGTTATGATTAAAAGAAGGAGAGTCGATTTCTTTTGGAAAAAGAGAGGAAAATGATACGATTAGTGATAGCCGAATAATGAAATAAGTTTATGGCATTTTCCGGAGAAGTGTTGAGGAGAAAAAGAAAGAGACAAAAAAATATTAAAAAGAAAAGATAAATAGAAGTAAAAGATAACATAATTTAAAAAAATAATAATTAGAAACTTAATATGAAAAGGGAAAATTACTTGCAAAGTTAAAGTTTTAATAAAAAAAAAGCGTCTCTCACTCTCTTTGAGAAAGTGAATACACTTTATTTGCCACCTCAGCATATAGAGTGACATTAATTTCATTTTAAAATAGTTCAAGGGGGTAATTGGATCCTCGTGAAGTATATGTGTGTAGTTGGAAATCCGACTATAAGTTGGGGGAGGGCTATAATAATTTTTTAAAAATTTGAATATATCACTAAATTTATATATTATGAAAAAAAAATTCATTGAGAGGATAGATAGGGGGTGGATTAGGGGTGTGTGATTTTCTAGTATTTTTTACTTTGTTTTTAAATAATATATGTTACTCGCCTTTTCTCAATTAATGTAACACTAATAAAATTTTGAGAATCAACTTAATTTTCTATAAGTTTTTAATTTTTTTTAATTATTGTGATATATATATTACTTTTACGTCATTTTAAAATAATATATGTTACTCATATATCCCTATTTATGCGGCACTGATTCGAGGGTCAAATCAGACTTTCTATATCTTTTGAATATTTTAACCTCTCAATTATTGTGATTTATAGTATTTTTTACGTAAATTTCAGACAATATATATGATTTCATTTGTTTCAATTGAGAATCAACTTAATTTTCTATAATTTTTTTATTATTTTTATTATTGTAATATATATATTACTTTTACGTCATTTTTAAACAATATATGTTACTCGTATATCCCTATTTATGCGGCACTGATTTGAGAGTCAAATCGGGCTTTCTATATCTTTTAAATATTTTAACCTCTCAATTATTGTGATTTATAGTAATTTTTACGTAAATTTCAGACAATATATATGATTTCATTTGTTTCAATTTATGTAGCACACATAGAATTTCAAGAGCCATTTTTTTTAAAAATGATTTAAAAGAATTCAAGTTCTTAGTTATTGAGATAATACCTTTTACATAGTTTTCAAATAATACGATTTGAATTATTTTTACACAAATTTTAAAATATATAAAAGACTAAAAAATAAGACAAAAAAATTATAAAAATATCTTTGAAGTGCCAGACAGTCATGTTGACCCTGACCTGCCTGGTTATTGGCACTTATATATTAGTAAATGACTAAGAGGGTGTTTGGATTGACTTAACAGTTGGTCAAATCTACTTTTAAGTCAATTTTGACTTCTGAAAGTGTTTGACAAATATAAAATATAACTTAAAATAAGTCAAAGATGAGTTAAAATAAGTTAGGAAGTGTTTGACAAGGTAAAAAATGACTTAAAATAAATCAAAAAATTTAAATTAGGTCTCCCCTACTTTTTATTTTTTGACGAAAAAGCTACTTTTTTGTTAAGTTAATCCAAACAGACTCTAAATAATAAAACAAATTGATGAAAACAAAAAAATCATAAAAAATATGCCAGGTAGGCATGTTGACCATGACTTAATTGACACTTATATATTAGTATAAGGGAAGCAGAGAGCCGGCGGCCCTGCTTCTTGTCTCCGCCCCCGCTCCCGCTCCCGCTCCCGCCGTGCTGCCCAATCTTTCTTCTCTCTCGACAACTCTCTTCAAGCAAAGCCGATTGTACAACTCATGCTAAATCAGTGTATAGATACCTCCAATCATCTCATTTATGCAGGTTTTTTTTTTCTTTCTATCTTCTCTTTAGATGTACTTATGTGTTTGTTTTTTCCCCTTTCTGAAACAGACTTGAAAGGCCTCTATTTCAGCATATACTAGTTGTGTCCTTGATGGAAGATAATTTGATCAATGCTATAGTAATGGATCTTGATTTGAACCACGAACCTATGGAGTCGTCAGCTTTAGGATTAGGGTCTTTGTCCAATACTAGGATAGAACAAAGAATTCTTCACCTTGAGGCTGTTGCAGCTAGGTGGCGTCAGGTTCATAATTCTGCTCCTGATACAGCTCATAATTCTGCTAATGAGGCTCCTAATTCTGCTGCTAATGAGGCTCCTAATTCTGCTGCTGATACGGGTCATAATTCTGTTCAACATCACAATTGTCTAGGCAAGGGAAAAGGATGCAAAAGAGATAGATCCCATTTAGTAGCAAAGGCATTGGAGATGGATGTAGTGGTTAAGAAAGTTGATAAGAATGGTCCAAGTTTCTTTGACTGTAATATATGTTTTGATATTGCAAAAGAACCTATTTTGACTTGTTGTGGCCATTTATATTGCTGGTCATGCTTTTATAACTTACCTTATGTTGATTCAACTACAAAAGAGTGTCCTGAGTGCAAGGGAGAGGTCACAGATGCAAATATTACTCCAATTTATGGCAATGCCCACAGTTACTGCTCCAAACAAGTCCACTCTGCTTTCGAATTACCACCAAGGCCAAAAGCAAATAGAGTCGAGAGTGTTAGACAGCAGCGTGTCACTCGGGGATTGTCTCATATCCCAGTTGCAGAAGCACTTAGGCGAATTAGGAATAGTATTGGATTGGGCGATCACCCACAGCAACTGGACACTGGTGGCGTTAGTTCAACTTCTCTGAACGGCTCTCAGGAGTTGCAAAATACTGAGGCCACTGGTAGCCAGCGACCACGCTCCCGAGTGTTTTCGAGGGTATTATCAGAGGGTGCGGCTTCTCTTTCATCGGAATTAGAAAATGTACAGAGGCTGTTTGAGGACATTACAGCGTCAATTACAGATCGCATTCATGAAAGAAGCAATTTGCAAGTTTCACCAATTGGTCATGTTGTAGCTGATGAAGGTAATTCTCTCAGAAGAGACGCTGCTATCATACAATCAGAGCATCAGACTCTGGATTCAATTGCAGATGCAAGCTCTGTTGTATCTCTTCCTTCCTCTTCTCAATCAAATGAAGTTTCTGATGCGGCACTTCAGTTGGAAAATCTGACAACTGATACTGCAAACCTGCCTGTCATTCTATCTCCATATTCCAGGAGGAGAAGTGGTTTCTCAAGGCGTTCAGATTTAGATAGCGAAATTCTTCCTGAAACAAGAAGAAGATTTAGCTGATGCATTTGAATGATCAAGGTATAAGTTTTCTGTTATTTTACCTAAAGAAGTAATACATTTCATGTTATCATGTTCATCAAACGTGAGGAATTGTCACTCTAATTAAATGACTTAGGTAGACACTATTCTCGAATGTGGTCAAGCAAGTGGTGTTGCCCTTGTTGGAAGTGATAATCTAGCTCAGAGATTTACCGTGGTGGAGAAATTTTTTGATGGTAAGCTTTTTGAAAAAGATGTAGCTGCTGAGATTGTGGCATCTTGGCTGTACAGTAGATAGTAGGTACTTTTCTTAGGAAGCAATGTTATCCCCATTGCTTTTTTATACATTTCGTGACAGTTCCTGGTGGTTTAATGACAGTTTTCGATTACGTAAATGGTATCCCAGGTTTACTTAGAGTAAAATCGATCTCTTGTATCAAACATTTCTTTCCAGTTTCATGAAATCTAATCTAGTGCTTCAGCTCTTTCTTAGTCTTTCTATTTTTCTTTAATAAAATCAAACATAGTATTTCTGTATTCTTAATTATCCTGTAATCTATAGATGCTTCTCGATCTGAAGTAGACCCTTTTGGTACCCTTCTCAATTTATTTTACTAGGAGACTAATAATCAGGTTTCTTGTAGAAATCATAAAGATGTCCTAGAAATTCTTACTCGGCAACCTTCACTTATACACAACTAACTCCATTTAGCGCAACAAGTGCCTGCGTCATCCCTGAGGCTAGAGACTTAATGGCTTAATCTTCCATCAAGAACCCTCCGCTTCCTTAGCCTTCATGTTGTCATCATTCTCTCCTTCAGTTTTTTCTTTTAAATTTCCATCATAGTACCGATTCCTTTATCATCCCTGACATTACCCATTGAACTTTAAATATTTCCCTGA